GGTTATCCTTCGTAAGGCTGAAGAAAGTTTCTTCCACCAGAAATCCAGGGTCAAGTGGTACGCGGAAGGAGATTTGAATACCTCTTATTACCATAAGGTCGCCACCTCCAGAAACGCTTTCAATGCTGTTAAGCATTTGCTGACTCCAGATGGAATTCGAGTTGACACAGCTAAGGATATTCATGAGCACGCTGTGGACTATTTTGCTAATATTCTGGGTTCTGTTAAAGGTCGTTTTTGCCCAGATCTCCCCCAGGTTCTTGATTCCCTTCCCCTCCCCATCTTCTCGGATTCGCATAAGGCCATTTTCTCAGTTTCTGTTTCCTCGGCGACCATTTGGGAGGCCCTTAAATGTATGCCAAAGAGGAAAACGCCGGGTCCAGACGGCTTTACTGCTGAGTTCTTCAGGGCAACATGGGATATTATTGGTGTGGAATTAGTCGCGGCAATAACCAACTTCTTTAACTTCCCTTTCATGCCATCTTGTTTAAATAACACTTCACTTGTTCTCCTGCCTAAGCGCCCGGGAGCAGAGGAGCTCAAAGACTTTAGACCAATCTCTTGTCTGAATCTGGTGTATAAACTCATCGCTCGTATCTTGGCAGGAAAATTAAAGCTTATTCTTCCGGATATTATCGTTGCGAACCAAACGGCTTTTGTCAAGGATCGCCTTCTTCTGGAAAATGTGCTTCTTGCTTCTGAAGTGTTAAAAGGCTACCACCTTCAAGGGATCTCTCCCAGGATGACCCTCAAAGTCGACATCTCAAAAGCATTCGACTCCGTAAGGTGGGATTTTATCCTTAGTGTGCTTCAAGCCCACCAGGCGCCCCCTAATTTCATGAGCTGTGTTCGTGCCTGTGTTTGTTCTCCTTCCTTCTCGGTCAGTATTAACGGTTTGACTTCGGGGTACTTCAAGGGGAAGACGGGTTTGAGGCAAGGAGATCCCCTTTCACCTGCATTATTTGTGATGGTGATGAATGTGCTTTCCCTGATGCTTAATAAAGCGGCTGAGGAAGGGATTTTCGGTTTTCATCCCGAGTGCGAAGACCTGCAGCTCACCCATCTCTCCTTTGCTGATGATCTGCTTATATTTCTGGATGGTTCTGTTGGTTCTTTAGCAGGGGTGTTATCCGTACTCAGCAGGTTTGAAGAGCTTTCAGGTCTTGCGGTGAACCTTGCAAAAACTTCTTTATTTACCGCTAATGTTCATGAAGAGGCGCTCGAGGAGATTCATGCTCGGTTTTCATTATCTCCAGCTACTCTTCCTGTTCGTTATTTGGGCCTTCCCCTCTGTTCCCGGAAACTCCGTGTGGCTGATTTTGACCCTATGCTCTCTCAAATCAGAAAAAAACTAACTAGCTGGACTTGTCGTCATCTCAGCATTGCTGGGAGATATGCCCTGCTCTGTTCTGCTATCCCGGGTATATATGGTTTTTGGAGCTCTGCTTTCCTTATTCCCAATCAGGTCATCAAAAAAATCAACTCTCTTGTCTCGGCATTTTTCTGGCATGGATCTGTACATTCAGCAAAGGGCGCAAAGGTTTCCTGGAAAGATATTTCTTTTCCGAAGCAGGAAGGTGGCTTGGGTATTAGGTGTTTGCGCCGATGGAATGAGACTTGCGGTCTGAAGCTAATATGGATGCTGTTTTTCAGAGCAGGGTCTATCTGGGTGGCGTGGGTAAGGAGAAAATATCTCTCTCTCTCTCCTTTTTGGGCACTAAATGAGAAGAACTTCTCCTTCTCGTGGATGTTCCGTAAACTGTTAAGCTTAAGAGGCAAAGCTGCTATATTTCTAAGGACAATGATCGGAAATGGTGATGATTCCTTTTTCTGGTGGGATCTGTGGACACCTTTTGGTCCACTTATAAATTATCTGGGCCAAGATGGCCCTTCCAGACTCGGTATTCCTCTCTTCTCAACGGTTAGTCTGGTTTTTTCAACTGATGGATGGATTTTACCTCCTGCAAGATCCGAGGTTCAGCTTCAACTTTATGCTTTTATCACATCTATCTCTTACTCTTCGGATAGTGATAAAACGATTTGGCTCATTGATGAAAAAGTTCAGAAGTCTTTCTCCTCTAGAAAGGTGTGGAATAAGATTAGGGACGCCAAAGAGGAAGTCAGTTGGTTTCGCGTTGTCTGGCCAAAGAGGAGAATCCCAAAACAAGCTTTTGCGAGCTGGCTATTTGTTCTAAACCGCAACCCTACATTGGATCGTTTGGTCAATTGGGGTTTCGATGTAGAACAGCTTTGTTTATTGTGTGGTGGAGCAAACGAATCCAGAGACCATTTGTTCTTTGAGTGCCCTTTCTCGCTTCAGGTTTGGAATTTGGTCATCTCAAAAGTGCTGCTTCTTCCTCCTCCTGAAAGATGGGATTCGATTATTCCCTGGTTGCTTTCGGCTTCTCACGGAAAAGTCATGTCGTCGGTTCTTATTTCGGCTTGGCAAGGGTGTATCTATGAGATTTGGGCTGAACGTAATCGACGTTTCCACAGTGGAGTATCTTGGTCACCAGCAAAAATTTCAATTATGGTGATTTGTGGGCAAAAGTCGAAGGCTTTCAGCCTTCCATGCTCGGATTCCTCTCGTTATGACATTATCTTCGTCTGGTCAAGATCCTTCCTTCCTTCCTAATCTTCTTTCTTCTTTTCCCTTCAATTCTATGTTTCTGCAATTTGCTTTTGTTTCGAGATGTGTGGTTTCATCTCTGTTCCTTTTGTAACTCTTTTTTTTTTTTATCAATTTAAGCAAGCCCTTTAAAAAAAAAAAAAAAAAAAAAAATGAAAAACTTTTGTGTTAGGGTTCTTTTAAAAAACTTGTTCATTGACTCGCCAAGTTTCTTAAGAAAAATAATATATATATATATAACGAGGGTGTTTTTCAACTGATGAAGATAATATGTTTGTTATCACTCAACGAACAAGACTCGCATCCATAATCATTGGAATATTGAAAAATAAAGTTTGTGAAACAAAAACAAACGGACTTATTCTCATTCGTCAACTACACCTATTCTCGATCTCTCATTATTTCTGAACAACAAATGTTGATTCGGCCACTTCCTTCGTATTTTAGACCGGAGAAGAGGGAACCGACCTATGTACATGGGTAGGCCCGTAGGAGTCATGCTCATGCCCCTATTCTCTTACGTCTACGTAATATATATGTGGACATTTTTCTTCAATTTTAGCTTCCGGATTTGATTATGTATCCTCGTTTTTAAACTTGAGTATTCATAATTGAAAATATACAACGTTTTCACATAAGTATATATTTTTTTTTGCTCTCAATTTTCGCCACTTTAACATGCACATGAAATTAAATTAGTGGTATAGCAGAAGCGGCATGAAATACGTTAGTGTTGTTAGTTATCATCCTAAATATCTCTATTGACACGTTAGTTTGTTTGACGCATATGAAACTCTTTTTACAGTAAATTTAACAGCTAATCTAGACAAAAACAGTAATTTATAGTTAAGTGAGAAGATGGAATCAAATCTAGTGATCAACACTTTCGTAGATTATCAATTTAGAGGAGAATAGGGTGGGCAGAAAGGAATATAGTGACGATAAATTTGGTTCTTTGTGTGAGTGGACAACACCTTTAGTGAAAAGACGATAATGCCCCTGAAAGAAGTTAGCGGCAAGGGGTAACTTGTGGCAGAGGTACAAAACTGGATAGGGACAGAGAGGGAAAAAGATGAGCAGTGGAGTGTGTTTGAATGGTTACTTAATAAAGAAGGAGAAAGGTTGAGTCAATCAATCAATCTCACTGTTGATTTCATGTCAAAGTGGACCATGTGAAATATATTTTAACTTGTGTTTTTCTTTTTTTGGCTCTTTTCTATATCTTCTACAAAATACAAAAAAGACGTATGTTTTTTTAGCTTTAAATCTATAAACCTATATGACAAGGCAATTGTTAGTGGAAACAAAAGACCAGTCTATTATACATTCACTAAACTATATTGAAATGTTTTTTTGTCATTGATTACAAGGTGAAGTTATAAGCGAAAAAGAGGAAGATGAAGTTATATACATATAATCTCAAATCCTACTTCATCCTAAATTTAGATTTCTAGAGACCCATGTATTGTTGCATATATAATTAGTAGCCAAAAAAACGATGATAATGTTGACTAGCTGCTTGTATTAGTGCCGGTATTGTTCTTGTATCATTATCCATATTTAAATCCGTATAATACGTAAAAAAAACTAATATTGAAGAATTTTATTTTAGGTTTAGTAATCTAAATTTCGTTCTTTTATAATTGAAAAATTCCTAACCGAAATCCAAGTATTCAACTAATTGAAAAGACATTAACCAATCATTACTATTTTTTTTTGCGCGTTCCGTGATTTTTTCTTTATGTTGTTGATATAATTGTTGTAGATCTTTTAGTTCACTTAATCACTATAAACCTTTTTTCTTTTAGAAGACATGTGATATAGTTATACTTTATATTGGTTTAATGAAGTTAAGATCATTAGAATGTTGCATGAAATAATGAGTTATTTAATTACAAAATCCTTCGTATCTCCGTTATATATCCATATCCCAACCAAACAATTTTGGCTACTGTTGCCTGACTTTCACCGACCCCTAATAGATGAGGTTTATTTGTAATTAGGCTTGTAGTTGATGCCATTAATGGCAATGACATGATGCTTCTCTTTATGCTACATTTGGTGGTGGGAATATATCTTTATCTTATAGCCCAACAATTTTATTCTAAACTCCAAACATAAAGCAGTAAATTTCCATTAGTTTTGTAGTTTTCATTATTTGTTTTTTTTGTGATAATTGCTCAGTGTACTTATTGTGGAGCAAGCAGACACATAGTTTGCGTACGATAATTGAGTAATTAGCGGAAAAGTTATCTGGACACACAGTTTATTTAACCATTCAACTTTTCCGTACAATGATTAACATATGCTGCTCTTACTTTTGGGAACCAATCCAAGATTTGATACCATTAACTATATCTTTAAAATAAAATAATGTATAAACATTCTTTACATTCATCCTTTTGTCCAAAACCGTATATACAAAACACAGGAACTGTTTCTTTAAAGTTCGAATTATCAACATATTGTTTTAGCATCTTTTTAACACAGAATATGATATTTTGATTTTGTTTTAGCAATAGACAAAGATAGTTTCAATGGTTGAAAAACTTTGATCTCACAACACAATGAAGGAGAGGAGACAAATCCCTGTACCTTTCAGACACGGTACAGTTTAATGATCTGATCGATCTTCGCGCGACAAACAGGACATCCCCATTTCTTGGATTTGATCTCTGTCAAGCAAGACATGCATCCAGCAACATGTCCACACGGGACACAAACTGCTTCAGATGGAGCGTCGAGACATATCGCACACTGTCCAGAGCTCCCGTCTTCTTTCTTTTCACCATCTGTTGAAGCTGGTAGAGTAGAAGGAGTTGGAACCTCGACAGGTGTTGCATCGATTGATGGGTAATGAATCGGACCGTCCTCTACGGTTCCTATATCATCGTGATCAGTCAATGGAGGAGCTGATGGTGAAGCTTCTTGGACAATAACACTTTCATGGCTATTGAGACCTGACGTGCTTGCCTTCCCTGAAGGAGGAGGAGGTGCAGTTGATGAACTTGCTTGACCGATGGAATGGTGACTGATATTTGGTGTGTCACTCATAGCAGAATGTAGTGGTGGCGCAGATGGTGCAGTTTGGAGAAAGACAGGGGGATGCAATGGCTGTATATATTATTCAAAGAGAGACTCATTATATGAAACAAAGATGAAACAAATCTCATTACATCCAATGGGTATTGTTTTTGACATTACCTGTGGAATTCCTTTACATGCATCACAAAACCACTTAAGCTGTTGTGCGTCACCTTCAATCGATGGTGCGAGTTTAAGACGTGCTTCTGTAAGAAAGAGAAGACAAACTTACATGTTTCAATTTCACTGAAACATAACTTCTATAATGGAAGAAACAGATAAAACAGTAACGTTCGATTTTAGATATTTTCTTGGAAAATTTAAACATGGAGGTAAAAAGTTTCTGATATGAACTAAAGGATGGTTTTTAGCAACTAAACAGTGTAGACTTACGCCTAACTACTTGAGGCCTACGTCTCCCATGGGAGGCGCAGGCCCTTCTTCTTTGCCTCCTGCGGCTTGGGACTATCCACCAGAATAAAATTCAATCATCATCCACAAAACTTAGAGGTTTTGCATGTCAACAACAAATAAAAGTGCCAGGGAATTACTTGCGGAGTTATCAACAATCATCACTGAAGTATCAGACTGCTTCCCTTTTGGTTCCTCCAAATTTGCTTTCCACAAAGGCATCACCGTGCGTGGCTGTGCGTCCTGATTACATCATACCAGTTTATTAATCAGATAAACCAAATACGCAAGACTTAAACATATTGAATGTGAAACTTCTTAGACTTTGTTCTCTGAATTATTATCAAATGATCATCTTACCTGCAGACTAGCATATACAACAAGCTCCAACTTGAAAGGCTTTGTAGGGTTTCTTGAACCAGTTGGTACGATGACTACCCATCTGCAAATCATAAGGTTAAAAGAAGATTCATAGCCTCAGATTCAGGGAAAAGAAGCGAGTTTTCTGTAACAGAGTAAGTTGCATGTATAACCGAACAAACACAGACAAAAAAGACAGATAAGGTGAAGTTTATGGATATACTCACACTCTTCTTGAAAGAAGCTGAGGAGCAAATAAATCAAGAAAGGTAGGGCCGTAAAACTCACGCATCCAACCAGAGAACAAGCAGATGTGACTCTACAGAATCCACAATTTAAAGAAAAATCATAATCCACAAAGTGTCATATCTTTCACAAGTAGGTTACAACAAATGATCAAAATAGATATTACAAACACACCTCAATTGCACGCACGACATTGCTGAAGCCTTTGGCTCTAGCGACCTCAAGTGGTGTCTGACAATCATCATTAAGAACAAGTGGATTTGCTGCCAAAAAGTGAGATATACCATATGAGATAAAGATCACGATAAGTAGATATCTAGCTCACACACACATCAAGTTGTAAGAGAGGACAAACACTTACCACCGTGCGAAAGAAGTAGCTTAACAGTGTTCTCGAGACCCCTTTTCGCAGCATGGTGCAGAGGAGTCCCCGCATGTCGAGCTGATGTCGATAAGAGTAAAAACAAATGACCACATTTAGCTAAACCACATCTCAATGATTATGGAGCCTTTAACAGAATCAACAAGGTCTCAAAACTCCAAGCACACTCACAATCTACATTCAAATGACTTATTAAAGCATTCATCATGTCACTGGATTGTGTTAGCTACTATAGTTCTTCAAATTTCAAATTTGGGCAAAACATGAAAGCTCTGTAAAAAGGGAAGATTTTGAATTACCGGGACGATAAGCATTAACATTGGAGCCGAGCTCAATCAATGTTTTAGCGACATCGTATAACTCCGAGTTCATGCAAGCCAAGATCAGAGGTGTTTTTCCTTCTCTATCCATCCACTGAATCCCAAAATACACAAAATCAAAATCACGGAAAAGGGAAACGATCTGTGTCTCAGTAAAACCCTAATTTCGAGCAATTCAAAAGCAACAATCAACCAAAATGATTCAAAAAAAAAACCAAAATTGAAGAAGAACCTCGAGGTCTGCACCCTCTCGACGAAGAGCTCGAACCCCTTCCGCGTTACCGTAACCCACTTGCTGAAACAGAAGTTCCCCTTTCGATTGCTGTTGCCCCATTTTTCTTCACCGATCAAAACCAAAAATCGAGAAAAATTGTGACGAAAAGAGGAACAATTATACACAGCACACAAGAACGAGCTCTCGTTTCTGGAGAGTGGAGTCGATCGAGAAAATTTCTCGGGAAAATTGAAATTTTTATCAGAATATAGGGAAACGATAAGAGGAAGGAAAAAAAAAAAATTAAGGGTCCCAAAAAATTTAATCACAGAGAGATATTTTGTTTTTCGGTTCCTTAGCAAAGAAGAGTTAGGAGAAAGACAGGTCAATTTAAGGAAGACTTTGTGTAAATACACATTTTGTGTAAATACACTAGAATTAGTAATATACTCCCTATATTATAGACAATTTTTTTTTTGTCAAATATTATAGACAATTTATACTTTGTACCTGCTGATTATTTTTGAGATTATTAAATTTCTTTTTGGAGTGTTATTCAATCATGAATTTAAATTAATTTTTCTAAGTTTTATAATCTTCAAGATTTAAAATTAATATCAGTTTTATAGATTCATTTGTTTGGATTCTAAAATCTCTCCAATATGCATTAAATTTTGATTCTAATAATTTTACTCAAAAAATCTATTGGAATTGATTTGAAATTACTTAATATACAAAAGTATTATAAATCATTTAGTTTTGAATAACACTAGATTTTAATGAAATATTTGAAATCTTTATTGAATAACACAAACTTTAAAATCTCTTAAACACATTTACAATAAAAAAATTCAATAACACTAGATTTTAAAACATCTTTTAGAATCATTAGTTGAATAACAGTGAATTATGGTCAGATTTAAATTTTATTAAAACCATGATTGAATAATATCTTTTTTTATGTCAAATGTCAGTTTAGATTGCATAAAACATTACATGAGGTCTGTTTTTCATTTGAAAATATTTCTAAAACATGATGAAATGCGAGATAATACACATTTACTAATATGAGTGTGTTTTCGTATTTTTAAGTTTTTTTCTTTATTTGGGTATGAGATTTGCTTAGTAGATATAAAAAATTCCCAAAATATTTACGTTTCAGAATTATTTTGTTTTCTTCACTTGAATCAGAATTGGAGACAATTTTAATAAGTAGAGTGGATGAAATTGAAAATGAAAGATATTAAATACTTTTGTTTTTAATAAAAATATTTAATTTTTCTATACGGGATTTGTCAGTTTAAGCCTTATATTTTTCATTATGAAACATTTAGCTTATTCATATCCAGATTTTTCATATTGAATCATTTAGCTCCTGCGTATCCATTTTTTTGGTTTTTAATGCAACGTCAACTAACAAAGGAGATGGACAAACGGAATAATTCATGATAACAATAATATGATTATTTATGCTTGTGATAAAACTTCAAAGCATTTTAATCATGATTAATAATTCATTTTCTTATATTATCTATCTATGAAATCACTTGAACAGGGGGAAAACAAAAAATCACTATGGTAACATTACTAAATTGGCTAAAATCGTGGAAACTATAAGGCCCAATGGATCGAGTCCAACCTGATTATAAATGGTTCGACTTCTTTTCTCTCTACTCTCTCTCTCTCTCGTCTTCACTGAGAAACAACCAGAAGAGAGAGAATCAAAGAACCATTCTGATCAGAGAGAGTAGGCGATGGATGAGAATCGACATGAAAATGCGCTAGGGTTTCGTTGGTTATACTGCTTCAATCTTCCTCTGATTTCTGTTTCAATGTGGCTATTTGAGTAGGAATTGCTCAAACAACCGACGACGGCGAACTCCAGTGGCGGGAATCGATGGCGGGAAAAGCTTAGCCTCCTCTCCGGTCGAAATCTGGCGACGGGTATCTTCCTTCCGACTTTGTTCTTAAGAACTTGGTACTTGCATTAGGGTCCTTCTAGGCATTTTTGAATAGATTGGGGATTAGGTCTTTCTCGATTTGTAGATTTTCGATTTTGGTTGGGAAAGTTATTCGATATGGAGAAGATAAGCCTTCCATGGGATTTGGTAGAGGAGATACTCTCCAGGGTTCCTTCTAAGTCTGTGACCCGATTCAGATCAGCATCAAAACAGTGGAACGATCTATTGGTATCTAACAAGTTTGCTAAGAAGCACTCTGCTAATGCACCAAAGGAGTCTGTGATTATAATGTTGATTCACTCTAGGGTTCACTTGATGAGGATCAATCTCGATGGGATTCAGGACAACGTTGCTCCATCTGTTAAGGTTGGAGCTCAATTATACCTTAAAGATCCGCTTTCTAGTTCTTCACATCAAGTCGATATACGTAAAGTGTGTCACTGCGACGGGTTATTGCTGTGCGCCACCAAGGAAAATAGACTCGTGATTTGGAATCCATGTTCTGGAGAAACCAAGTGGATCCAGCCTAGAGACAGCTACAAGAGAACCGATTTCTATGCTCTCGGTTATGAAAGCAATTCTTCCTGCAAGAAATACAAAATATTGAGGGTGGATGTTCAATCCATTATCCCTACAATCCGCAATGAGTATGAAATGTACGACTTTACCTCTGATTCGTGGAGAGTTCTTGGTGTGGCCACTGATTGGTTGATACGACGAAGTGGCAGGACTGCGAAGGGGAATACTTATTGGGCTGCTGTTTATGATGCCATTGAAGGTAAATGTTTCTTACTTAGTTTTGATTTTCTAGGGTGAGTTTCCTGGCCGACGAGCAGAACAAAGTTGTAGTGTGTTGCAATGAGGACGCTTTCCTCGAGAAAGCCTTGGAAATTGTCGGAGAAGATAAATACATATGAATGGATCTTCATGGTGGACATTCTGCAGGCAGGGCATATTGCTTAGATCTTCAGAGTTATGTTCCAAGTTTGGCTCAATTCCAACAATGTGCACTTCTTGGAGGACGCAAAAGGAAAACATCTGAGAGGTGGCCATTTTTTTTTTTTTTTTTTTTATATCTGAGAGGTGACATGTTCATACCAATCTGTCGTTTCTTGTAACTCTCGAACCAGTTTGATTGGTATTTTACGTTTTATTGTAAAGAAAATTAGAGAAATCGTTGTTGTTGGTTCGATATCGTACTCTCTCAGTTTCATCGTTCCTTCGGTTTTCCACTCGATTTTCTCTTTTTTACGAGGTGAAACATTCTCGAATCCAATAATATTACCCTTAACCGAACCGGGATTTCGGTTTGTTTCGCGCACACACGGCAATTAAACCAATACTATTACCCTCAACAGAACCGGAACCATACCAAAATTTTACAGAACCGAGTTTCGGCAACATTTTCTCTAAACCGACCCGAAGTTTGCGGATGTCAGATCATCATCTTCTCGTTAACGAAACCGTTCTGATCAGAGTGTCGATCGATGCGATTGAGAATTGCCATTGAAATGGGCAGATCTGAGTAGGAGCTATCCAACCAAATGGCGGAGAGATTCTTCTCGACGAAACCAAGCTCCGGCGGCGAGAATCTCCGACGGGATAACCTCACTCTCCTCTCCGGCCCGATTTCCTCGTACATTTCTTCTGGAAGCTTTTCCTTAATTTGTATCCTCTCCTTCTCTTTTTCTCACTTATTGTTGTCTCTACTACAGAGGAAAAACCTCTCTCCTTTTCCAGTTTGCTCTCAGTGTGGCGTCTGCTTCTGAAAACAATCGTGTCGTTTTCATCTGTCACCGGAAAAGAATCGAATCAAATCCTCCGTTTCTCTCTCAGGTACACTTTTCGCATCCATTGTTTAAAGTTCTTTGAGCTTTCTATTGGATTTTGTTATTGCGGGTTCTGATGATATCTAGACTCAAAAAAATTTCTCAGGGAATTGACCCTTCCTCCGATGTATTCAATCGAATTCAGAGGAAGTGAGAAACTTACCAAATTTGGAAAACTAATTACTCTTAGCTTTGGATTAAGTAGAAAGAATGATTTAGTTAAACATTGGCTTAATTGAAGGTATGTGGATGGTGATGAAGGAATCAGGAAGTACTTTGCTGCGTTTCATCTTCACATTGATCTTCCATCCGCAGTTGTAATCGATGATTTCGATGATTACTTTACTCAATTGTAAGGTTCCTCCTCTCGGTCTAGTTTCAAGATTTGTCAAAATCCATTATAATGAAAACATGCTTTACAAGTTTACCTGTCTTAGTTTGAGTTCTTGGATTAGGAACTCCAAGGGGACTCTGATGAATTCCCGGGCTAGAGACATGGCGATGGTCCGGACTCTTGCTCTATGCCACAATGCTATACTCGATGCCAAGTGAGTTATCTCTTTGCCAGTAAAAATGGTGAATTTATTGTTTGTTTTTGTTGAAACTTTATGTGTACTTTGTAAACGGTGTCTGTTTCAGCAAGAAAGCAGCTTGCGAGGTTGTCTTATCCGAGACCAATCCTGGAGACTCTCCGAGGTCGTTGTTCATCTACAAACGATGGATCCCGACAATCTCTACAATTAAAGGTTTTTCTTCTTCTTTTTTTTCTCTATTCATAAGAAACAACATTACAACCTTTTTTTGTAACGCTTAGTTTGTAAAAATATCTATGTAATGTGATGAAGGTGATGGTGATGGATCGTTTCTCTTGAGAAGTAATGGTTCATCATTTGAGAAAAGCGCCAAGTATTCGATCGCACTCTAATATCTTATCTTGGAGGAGATTGTTGATGGAGAGTTTAACTGAGAAGAGTACTTCCATTTTTGACACAGTATGGTTCTATTTTTACCCTAATTTTTTTTTGTTCCCCTGTTTATTGTAGTTTTTTGCTCAGTATCGTATTGAGGTACTTATTTGTGCAAAATATTTCTTGGCTCAGTTTAAAAAAATATAAAACCTAATTATATACATTGGGAATTAGGTCTTTTCTTGCTGGTTGCTTGGCCTGGTTTGCTCTCTCTCTTTCTCTCGCTCTCGTTTTCTGAGTTTATATATTCGTAGGTTTTGATTTTGATTGGCGAAGTTATATATTCTGAGTCGCTATGAGGATAGACCTTCCTTTTGATAGAATAGATTCTCTCTAGGGTTCCGGCTAAATCTCTAGCACGGTTGCAATCAACATCGAAAAGATGGAGCGCTCTATTGAAATCTGGGAGGTTTGCTAAGAAACATTCAGCTACTGCACCAAAGGAGTCTCTGAGTATCATGTTGATTGATTTTAGGGTTTGTCCAGTAAGGATCAGTCTTAATGGAATTCACAATAACGTGGCTCCATCTTATAAGGTAGCAGCTCAATTCGACCTTGAAAATCGCCGTTCCAAATCACAAGTGGATATAAGTGGAGTCTTTCACTGCGACGATTTATTGCTATGCACCACTACCGGAAACTATAACTATAGACTCGTGGTTTGGAATCCATGTTCAGGGGAAACCAAGTGGATTAAACCTAGAGTCAGCTACAAGGAATCCGACTATTATGCTCTTGGTTACAACAACAATTCTTCGTGCAAGAAATACAAATTTTTGAGGGTGGATCGTCAAGATATATCAGTCAACAATGAGTTCGAGATTTATGACGTTGCCTCAGATTCTTGGAGGAAGAGGAGGGTGGTTGTGACTACCGATTGGGAATTACCATATTTAAGTCGTGGCATATCTCTGAAGAAAATACGTATTGGATTGCTCAAGGGTGGCCTGATAAATTCTTACTAAGTTTTGATTTTTCAACAGAAAAGTTTCAAAGTCTGTCTCTTCCTCATCCATTTCTTTATAGGGTTGCGGCTTTATCACTGATTAGAGAAGAGCAACTTTGCCTGTTAGGTGCTGATCACTATCATAATGTGGACACAAAGTCATCAGATTTACATGTATGGGTGGCAACCAGTACGGGGCCAGTCATGTCACGGATCAAGTTCCTAACTGTGGAGGATAGACCAACGTTGTTTTCTATTGGGTTGAGTTTCTTGGTCGACGAGCAAAACAATGCTGTAATATTTTGCAATGGTGTTTGGGCTGCAAAATCTTACACATTGTTTTAGAGAATAAACACATACGAGATGAGGTTCGTCGTGGTGGGAATATTCGAGGATCATATTGCCAATTTCTTCTGAATTATGTCCCAAGTTTGGCTCAAATCCAACAAGGTACACTTCTTAAGGATTGAGTAAAAGGAAAGCGCAGAGCATGTGATTTGCAATTGTCTCTTTTCCTTGTTTTATTTAGTAAACTTAGTTCCATGTTGTTTGGTTTTTCCGAGGATTAACTTTCACTACAGTCTATATCCCGAGTGCTACGAGCCTCAGATTTATGGGTATAATTTATGATATATCTTTTTAGTGATAACATTTCTATAAGGAGTTTAGAGAGAGACCTATTTTACGAACAACAACATCTTCCTTGCGTATGGGATATTGCTAGAGTGATTCTAGATAGTTTAGCTAAAAAAGAAAAGAGTGATTCTAGATGAACATAGTTTATAAAATTACAATCAACGAATAGATTGAGAACCTTACGTTTGACCCACGGCAACATATAGATGCATCTTACGTACTTTATGCCCTGACCATGCAGGGGGCAACTCAAATAAATATTAGTAAAGATTTGTCTTCGATAATTCACTTACATAGTGATAAAGGTTTACTTTTGCATCTTTAAGGATATTGAAATGAATAAAATCTTAGGAATCTAAACGTTCTCTCGTTAAATTTTGGTTTGCACCACACAAGATATAATATAATTTTGTACCAAACAAGATCGTTAAATCTCAAAGTCTCTTTTCAATTAAACACCTCAGCTTTAATCTCCCTCTGTTTTCCTAAGGCGAACTCCGGAGAACCTTAGCATCCTCTCCGGCCGAAATCTGACGACGGGTATCTTTATTTCTTAAGAACTTGGTATTTGCATTAAAGTCCTTCTCGGTTGATTTGAATAGAGAATCTGAGACATAATTGGGGATTAGGTCTTTCTCGCTTTGTAGATTTTTTGATTTTGGTTGGGAAAGCTATTCGATATGGAGTAGATAAGCCTTCCATACTTATTGGCTTCCTTATCACTGAAGGTCATTTATTGAGAGATAACCAGCCGGAGATCAACAAAATCAAACGACGATGGAAATAATGAAGATCTGATTAGAGAAGAATCAAAAAAGTTTATTAATGTTGAATATACTGTATAATTATTATTTAGACATATATAGATTCATATCAATCTAGATTAAGAAATATTTTGCTATATAAACCTATGTAACCTAAAACTTATTGGCATGAGAGTAAATAACACTTCTTCTAAACTTAAACTCTCATCAAAGTTATCATGGTATTAGAGCCTTTAATCCATTAGGATCGGAGTTGAAGCTTCCGTATAAGAAATCTCGTGATAAAGAAAAAGAGTTGATGGTGATTACGATGACTTCTCAAACGGTGACGACGACGATGAAGATGGCGTACATCGAAGATTTTGAAGATTCTCGTCCAAACGTGATGAAGTCACATGAAGTGGCTGAGAAGACGATGATTGTGGCATCGGCATATTAATTTGCCGCAATGAAGACCTTGGGAGCCATTATCGCTCAGGTTCAATCTGATGATGAGCAGATCCAATGAAAGACGGAGAGTCCTGGTGTGTTGTCAACGATACGGAAGACATCACCTTGGTGACTTGTGAAAGTTGATCGAAGATGGAGCCTATTGGTGGCTTGTTTTGTTGATGTGGTCAGTGATTGGTCACGTTACTTGCGTATTGGCTAGCATATTGCTAGTTTCTTGGAGCGCAAGAATTATGAAGCACACGATTGTGCTTGGCTTTTTTTAACTGGTGGAGGTGAATTGATTTCACCGGTTTTTTATTTAATTGTGAGTCAAACTATTATAATACGTAAGTTGGTTTGTTCACACGATCTTCAATGATGAAGATGGTTATTTTTTGGTGGAAATATGAAGATGTGCATTTTCCAACTAATTTACCGTATGGCTGGGTTTACAAGCCATTGAAGAACCTTACAAGAGGATATAAATGTCGATTACCCGACGGCCAAGTGTTGCAGCCGATTTGACCCTATGACCGGGTATATACGTAGTTGATGACCTAACGGCTAGGTATAAAGCCGATATTTTGAAGATTTGAAGATTTGTCCAATCTCACACGTATTACCACGTATGAGCTTGAGGGAGGGTATTGAGAGATAACCAGCCGGAGATCGACGAAATCAAACGATGATGGAAATATTGAAGATCTGATTAGAGAAGAATCAAGAAAGTTTATTAATATTGAATATATTGTATAATTATTATTTAGACATTTATAAATTCGTATCAATCTAGATTAGGGAATATTTTGCTATATAAACCTATGTAACCTAAAGCTTATTGGCATGAGAGTAAATAACACTTCTTCCAAACTTATAACTCTCATCAAACTTAAACTCTCATCAAACTTATCATCATTACTCCTTTCTTAGTTTTGATTTTTCAACAGAGAGATTTCAAAGTCTGCCTCTTCATGATCGAATTCCTTATTCGACTGCGGCTTCATCAGTGGTTATAGAAGAGAGACTTTTTCTGTTAACTTCTTGCTCTTTAGACGGCACAGAACCTAGAGAATTTCAGGTATGGATGAGAACTAGCACAGGATCAGACATATCATGGAGCAAGTTCCTAACAGTGAGAGATAGTTCTTTTAAAATTTTATAGGGTGAGTTTCTTGGCTGACGAGCAGAACAAGGTTGTAGTGTGTTGCAATGAATACGCTGTCCCCGAGAAAGCCTTAGCAATTGTCGGAGAAGATAAATACATATGAGTGGATCATCATGGAGAATATTCTGGAGGCAGGTGCTTAGATCTTCAGAGTTATGTTCCAAGTTTGGCTCCGTTCCAACAATGTGCACTTCCTAGAGGACGCAAGAGGAAAACATCTGAGAGGTGACATGCTCACACCAATCTATCCAAGTCTTAGTCTCTTGTAACTCTCGAACGAGTTTGATTGGTATTTTACGTTTTATTGTAAAGAAAATAGAAATCGTGGTTGGTATTTTACGTTTTATTGTAAAGAACCGGAATTTCGGTTGGTTTCGCACACATACGGCAATTACACACCAATAATATTACCCTTAACCAAACCGGAATTTTTAATATCAAAATTTATCAGAACCAAAGATTAAACCGACCCGAGGTCATTTTTCTAAACCGACCCGAAGTCATTTTTCTAAACCGACCCGAAGTCATTTTTCTAAACCGACCCGAAGTCATTTTTCTAAACCGACCCGAAGTTTTACGGATGTCCCGGTAACGGAATCATTCTGATCAGAGTTGCGATCAATGAGATTGAGAATCGCCATTGAAATGCGCTAGGGTTTTTTTGGTTATGCTTTCTGATTTTTCAGTAGAAATGAGCAGAATTTGAGTAGCAGCTAACCAACCAAATGACGGAGAGATTCTTCCCGTCGAAATCAAGCTCCGGCGGCGGAAATCGCCGGCGGGAAAATCTCACTCTCCTCTCCGGCCCGATTTCCTCGTACATTTATTCCGACGCTTTGTTTTTGTCCCTAATTTGTATCCTCTCTTTCTCTGTCTCTCGCTTATTGTTCTATCTACTACTACAGAGGCAAAACCTCTCTGCTTTTCCAGTTTGCTCTCAATGTGGCGACTGCTTCCGAAAGCAATCGCGTCGTCTTCATCTGTCACCGGAAAAGAATCGAATCGAATCCTCCGTATCTCTCTCAGGTACCCTTTGAGCTTTCTATTGGATTTTGACATTTTGTTTTGGGGTTTTTGATGAAATCGAAAACTCAAAATTTTTTCTCAGGGAATCGACCCATCCTCTGATGTCTTCAATCGAATTCAGATGAAGTAAGAAACTTACCAGATTTGGAAACCTAACTACACTTAGCTTTTGATTAAGTAGCGAGAATGATT